AAGTATCGACTGATGACGAATGTATCGAGGTGATGATTTATTGTCTAATTGCGATGGAAGGTTTAGTGAGCGTAATACGTTGTCTGAAGAAGAAATCGAGTCTGATGAAGAGGATGCTACTGATTCTAATTCAGTTGATTGGTTTATTGGAAAAGATGGAAAGACAATTTGGAAGAAAACAAAATTTCGTCAAAATGTTCGAGCTTTATCGCGAAAGATCATTTCAAAGTTGCCTGGAAATGTTGGAGTGGGAAAAAACGTAACTTCTCCTCTTGAGTCTTGGAGTTTATTACTGGACGATCTTGAATACGACCGTCACCTGTACAAATATGTATATTGACACTATCAGTGACAGCTTTCAGAGACCGCGATGCTAAAAAAACAAAACTCTCCGAGATTAAAGCCTTTTTTGGATTACTATATTTATATGGTATACATAAATCATCCCATGTACTTGTGAGATATTTATGGCGCACTGATAGAATGGTAATAGAAATATTTCATGGGACCATGTCTCATAATCGTTTTTTGTTTCTTAGATGCGTAAGATTTGACGATGTTAGAAACAGGCAAATGAGAAAAGAAATTGACAAACTTTCCCCAATAAAGTATGTATTTGGCTCATTTGTGCATAATTGTCAGGAGTTTTACACAGCTGGATCATATGTTACAACTGACGAAAAACTCGAACCATTTAGAGGACGCTGTTCATTTCGACAGTACATGCCAAAAAAGCAAGATGTTTGCTCTTGTTGATGCAAGAACTTTCTTTACATGTAATTTAGAAGTTTATGCAGGTACTCAGCCCCAAGACCCGTATCATGTAAATAATTCATCAGTTGAAGTCTTCAAAAGGTTAACAGAAAAGTTAAATTCTGGGAGAAGTGTAACAGTCGACAACTGGTATACTAGTTATGAACTTGTAAAATATCTCCTTCAGAAAAACATTACTCTAGTGGGCACCATAAGAAAGAACAAGAGGGAAATACCGAAAGAGTTTGTGAACAGTAAAAATCGTAAGGTGCATTCCAGAAAGACATGACTTTAGTGTCGTATGTATTATGAAAAAAAAAAAACGATATAGAAATTCATACTTAATAATAATTGCTGAACATCATTTCTGTGACAAAAACTAGTGTAAAAGTTTCATACTGGATTATGAGGTAGGTAACTGTGTGTATAAGTCACATAACAGAACATTTAAATCAATATTGTACCAAATCACCAAGCTGTAATAATAGTAGTTATTATAGTGTAACATAAAAACAAAATATGCAAACAATTCTAAATGCGTTGTGTAATTTTCAATAACCCATTCTATGTTAAGGTCCAATGTAAAGAGCTAATTACAATAATTACAAACAGGATAATAGAATCAAACTAACGTTTATTTATGGTAGGAAAATATTATGATTACAAATCAGAAGAGAGTCATGACACTCACTATTTACGTTACAATTAAAACGTGGTGGCTGGATCAATAAATTTACTGAGGAAAACAACAGAAAAGGATGACATACCCTTCTTTAACATCTATAAATATATACTTTTCACATTTCCGGATTTGGGATCCATCATACAATTTTTTATAGATTACTGGTACAGGCGAACAGATTGATCCATGGAAAAGATCTGTAAGTAAAAAATAAAGTTATTAAGCTGATTAAATTTAACTAAGGCTATTGTTTCGGAGGCCTGGCTTCCCTCCTATTACTGCTTCCAACCAGTAGGACACAGGTCTTACCTCCACAGGCCATCATGACAGCGAAATTTTAGGAAGAAATATAGATGTTGCAGCCTCTCTTTGCTGGTTATTACGTTGCTATGTCTATGATGCGGCTCCCCTCCAAGCTGCCCGGCAAAGATGACATCTTTTTCCTTCTGGTGTTTCGAAGGTTCCCGTGGAAATTTCTTTTCTCCGTCTCTCGTCTCCCCTGAAAACCTTGCGCAGCCGCTTTAGTAGCTGGCGCGTTTTTTGAAAACTTGGCATAGATGTTGATCAGCCGGAAGCGAAAAAAAAGCAACCCAACGCTATGGATCTTTACGGGAAGGGGTTTCCCGACTACCAGAGGAGTCGTTTCTCGCTATTCTATCGTTCAACTTCCAAGGCCACACCAATGTGTCATCAAAACTGCAGACGGAAACAGGGGGTGAAGAAACTAGCCTCTCTCCAGGGTCCCAGTCGATAATGCAGATCTTCTATCTCAACGAATATTTTCTCCCACCATAAGTATGCTGTAGAACATCTCCCTGCTTGCCTGGTCCAGCAAAACAGGGTCCTCTTTTCGTGAAAAACATATGGTATAACTATCCAGCACTTCGCCCCCCCCCCACACACACATGGTGGAACGCTTGGTAGAAAGAATTTTTGGGTGCAGTACAACTGCTCATAAGAATTTCCGCTGAAGGAAATCCAAGCCAAGGGCAAGGGGTGAAAAATCTCTGAACTAAGTCAATACAAAATGACTTTGGGAAATTAAAAAAATGAAGCTACTAATTACACAACATTATAATTCATAATAAAAATGTCAGCACTGTAATAATTGTTTCCTCAGCCACAATTTAAGTCCACTCATATATTATCCAAAATAAAATACAAATAAAATCAATTTATTTTTCTTCTACCGCTAGTCAGAAAGTATGTATTTGTTTAACTTTAAAAGAAAGAGGGATACAAATTAAATTACTCAAGGTTAAGAAAAAAAATTAACACACCAAAAGTGCAGCGACAAGGCTTTAAAATAAAATTAAAGTCAAAAGTTAAACAACCTTAAGGGTCAAAACAACTAGAACAAAAACCAAAAATCTTAAGTCCCTAAACTCAAACTCAAATTAAACAACTTCAACTCAGAAAACTTTTAAAGCAACTTAACCAAAACTTAAGTTTACAAAAGTTACAATTTAAACTTAAAATTAACTTTAAACAGAAAAGAAAAAAAAGAAAAAAAAAAAAAAAATTAGAACTTCAATTACAAATCAAAACTGAAAAAAGAAAAACAACTTAAGCTTTAAAAAAAAAAAAAAAAAAAAAATTGTTAACCTCTTATCTACAATGCATAACAACGACGCTATTGACCAAACAACAGGTGACGCAAAAAAAACCTGAAATAATATCGTTTTATAATTTGACGAAAGGAGCTGTTGTCAGCCAAATGTCAGCAGCGTATTCAACTGCAAGAATCAGCAAAAGATGGCCCGATGGTTCTATTCTTTGCATTGCTGCAATCAATGTTCAAGTATTACTCCAATGCTCAAAACATCCATACTTACAGCACAAGAAACGGAGTCAGTTTTTAAGAGATTTTGCAATAGATTTGCTGAAAGACTACACAGCGGAGAGGTGCACTGTACCATGTCTCCCTCGACATTTGCAAGAAAAACTATCTTCCAAGAGCAAAGAACCTACTGATAAAAAACAGAAAGTAATTGAGAGAAAAAGGTGCTATATTTGCCCAAGTTCAAAGGACCGACAATCTAAGATAAGTTGTACAAAATGTGAAAGAAATGTCTGTGGAGATCATTCTGTTTTAACATGTACCAATTGTACATAAAACTTGGTAAATTTAAAAAAAAGGTTTGTGCATATATTGAATAAAATTAGAACTCTAATATTGTCTTAAATTATGTTGTTAGTAAATGCTTAATGGGGTGTTTAATGACCTGCATAAAATATAAATCCATAAACGGGCCTCGCAGGCCCGGCGCGAGCACTTGCGTATGTATGATTAGCACGAGTAACGCCAGATTAAGTATGTTGCATAGACTTCTCACTGCTGGTTGGAAAACAAGAAAGCCAATTAAAAAACCACTTTTGACATGTAAAATGAAGTAGAAACAATTATTGAGGGCAAAAAAATACAAATCTTGGATCATAAATGACTGGAAAAAGGTCTTTCTCAGCAATGAGACTTATTTATTTATTCATGGTTACACATCTAATGTTGTTATATGAAGCAAGGGTGAATCAATAAGATATCAAAGTTTCAGAAAAAACCATAAAATACTCAAAAACAAATGTTTTGGGATTACATTGCGGATGGCACTCAAAGTCTAGTTCCTATTGATGGAATGATGAATTCATTGAAGTGTATTGAAATTTTAAAACATAAGATAGTGCCATTCTTGAAAATCTTTTCAAGGGCATTTCAACATGACTTGGTTCCATGTTATAACTGGAAATCTGTCAGAAGATTCATGTTAGAAAATAGAATTAATGTCCTAGATTAGCTTGGAAATTCAACAAACTTAAAGCCAGTGAAAAACTTGTGGCGTATTATCAAGGAACATGTCCTTCACACTTAAAAACATCTTAGCAAAATGGATGGTATGGCAAAAGAGTACATGATTAAGAATGCTATAAAAGTATGGTTCTGTGATGAAGAAGTGAAACATATATGCATTAAAATAATAGAGTCAAGGCCTATAGAATTGCCAACAATAACAACAGCTTTGACTCTATTATTAAAGCAGTTAAAATAAATTGTTTATCAGAATATAAGAAAAAAAATGCCTGTTTATAATTAGGTTTATTATTTCATTTGTGGGATAAATGTTATTAAAATGTAAAATATGTATGTAATAAAAAATTTCTTTTCGAAGTGCATTCTAGAGGTCTTTCTGCAAAAGGAGGACATATCTTCAATTAATTTTGTTTATTATCACTGAAAATGCAGATGTATACATAAGCTAACAAAAATTGCTTTGTCCTATTTAATTTGCACACTATAGTATTTTAGCTATTATTTATATAGATTAATTTATATATATTCCATGAAATTTTTATGCATAATACAGTTTTATAGCAATTTACAAAATTTTTTATACCTATTATGCTCTGGTCTTGATATTTTTTGTAAAAAAAGGCACTCTTGCATTACAGTGGATAATTTTTATTGGTGCTTTGCTTTATTATTTAACGTAATTGAGTTTAGATTAAATTGGATGTAAAATATATATATATATTTAAATAATAAATCTAATTCCCCCTCTTTCCCCCCCAGAATCTACTTAAGGTAACTTTTGATGAAGAAATATTCTTTCAACATGACCAGAGATTAAAAGGATTTCTAGAACTGTTACAAAATGTGAAGCATCTGGTTTTGCCATTTGAGTGTGATGATGAAACAGTAAAAATTATCTCTAGAAGTTGCCCAAATCTTATAGAATTGGATCTGTACGTCAGCATTGTTAGTGATGATGCACTAAGGAGTCTGTGTGGTGCTAAATTTGCTTCTAGTATTCGCATATTGCATTTGAGGTCCTTAAGCCGTAATGAGAAAATGATTGCGTCCATTCTTACTAGCATGCCACGTCTTGAAATTTTGAATAATTTTTATTTAGTACAAGCATTACAGTTTTTGCATAGATATGATCTTATCACAAATCAATTAAATGTAGTAAAAAAGTATATGTTAACTCATCTTAATTTATCTTGTGTGCAACCATCTGATTGTGTGGAGGCTCTAACTATATGTACTGTTCTTTGTCCAGATATAAGAAACCTATCTTGTTGTGTATATATGCAAAGCCATATAGATTTACTTTGTAACTTTAATAAACTACAAGACTTAGATTTGAATTATTCAGAAGAAGACCTACTTGATCTGAATAACTTCTTGAAAATGAAAGGTTTTAATTTAATTTCATTGCAAATCAATGGATGTTTTTTAGTTTACATTTCAGTTTTGATAGAGAATTGTCTGAAACTAGAAAAATTGTGCTTGTTAAGGCTTAAACTTCAGTGGTCAAAAAATGTTAGTGTCTTTAATTTAAAACGTATGGAAAGGTTAAAAATTTTTAGTATAGGCATTCCGTACTCAAGTACAGAAGATTTAAGCTTATTACTGAATTCTATCCCAAATGTAGTTTGTCTGTCTCTGTCAACAACCCTTCATTTAAAAAGTGCAATTTTGAAAAACTGTGACTTAAAGAAATTAAAATATTTTAATATTGTTTATGCAGTTTTGGATGTAAATTTTGTAACATTGATTCTTAAAACATGTACGTCTCTCAAAATACTGAATCTTCATTCATGTTATAATTTATCTGAATATGATTGCAGAATAATAACTGCAGCTGCATCTGCTGCAAAGAATTCACCTGCTGTTACTTGGAACAGGTTTGCCCGTATTTCAGATGATGGACAGTTTATGATGTGGTGAATTCAGTACTGATTCCTAGAATGTTCTGAGAGTTCCTGGTGTAGGGAATATAGTAACAATTGTCATGAATGTCTGAAATTAATGTTAGAATGTGCTTTATTTTAAAATTCCTTCGTTGAACATTCAGTGTATTCTAATAAAAATGTTATCGAATGAAAATTAATTTTAATGCTTGTATTTTGTGCTGTTTTTTTAATTATTATTATTTTTAATGTTTAAATATTGTTGTAATGTTTAAATATGTGTTAAAATATTGTTCATGTATTCTTGTTTATTTTGAGAGTTCGTAATTTATCCACTGCTTAACAGATAGAAATAATTTTCTTGGCTACAGAAATATTTCAAAAATTAATCAAACCATTACATTCATTCCCTCAAGCATCTTATATTCTACATTACTCACTTTATTATTAAACCTTTAGAAAGTATAGTTTTGTACAGGTAATGTTAGTTTCCTTCCAGAGTATTGCATTGATATTGTGATTAGAAGATTATTTTCTAGTAAAAGTATTATCCGCAATTCTTGTTCATATGTTTCAACTCTGTGCCTTTTCTACTTAAGTATCAATGCTGCTAAATGTTATTTTCCAGTTGCAGCATATATGTATGATCTTCAGTGCAAGTAGAGGATTCATCAAGCACTCTTGAAATTATGTTATCTATGTCTGTGTTTCTTCATAAAAGGAAAAAAAAAAAAAAAAAAAAAGAACAATTTAAAGTGTTTTGATTTCAATGAATGTAATGACATGATTTTTTTGAAATACTTCTTTTCATAAGAATATTTTGATCTGTTATCTGGTGAATATTCATGTGTATAAATAGAGTACAAAGTCCAAAATCTGGGCATCCAATATCAGGACTAGCAGATATTTTTTTTAATAAATATATATAAAGTTCAGGAATGGAGAATCTAATACTTGATTTATCTCTTGACTAACTGAAATTTCTGTGTGATACTTTCAAGACCTGCTGTCTAGAGCAGGGTTTCTTAAACGTTTTTCAATCGCAACCCCTTTTTATCACTGAGATTTTTCAGGACCCCATAATATTTTTAAAAAATTAGTTGGACCCTATAAGTATTGTGCAAATCTGACACACACACATGAGTGAAACTGTCAATTTTTCATTTGCACTGTGATATACTATTGGAGTTTTAGGTCATTAACTTTAATTTCGAAGACATAGAACAATGTGAAAATTTTAAATAAGTACAGACGAAATGACAGCTTTTTTCTTTGTCTGTATTGTCTTTATCTATATTCAGATACATTGTGTAAAAATATTTGATAATTGTAAAATTATTGTAATAAGTCAAAGAAATATCAAAATTGCTAAAATTTTTGGTGATCCCTTGCTGCACATTGCGACCCACAGTTTACGAAACCCTGGTCTAAAGAATCACACTGTGGCCAATGACAATATACTCATTGGAAGGACCACATTTTTGTGGCTGTGGAGGGGAGGTTAAAATTTTTTTAATCTGATATAAACAGTTGTTGAAACCGTAAGACATATTTGTTTGAAGTGGGATGTTGCTCATACTGGCTGTCTTTTGCTGCTTATGAAAGTGAGAAAGAGATTATGAACTTAATATAGCAAATTGCTCTCTTCTTTAACTTTTTAATTTGACTCAGTTTATAATTTTTTGCAGGCCATTATTATTATAACTATCTTATCAAATTAAAGTTTGAATTTTTGATAATGTTGAAATGAGTTTCTAATTCTGGAGCTGTAGCAGGCAGGATTTGGAAAGTGAAAGTATATGTGGTTCTTGCTATCTCTAACAGCCTTAGTTGGAGAAAATAGTATTAATACAATTCAGATATTTGGCACCTTCTCTTTCTAGCAGACTTTTGAGGAAACATTGAATAGATGGATGCATCCCTATGTAGCATGAGGAGAAGCTGAGAAGGGAATTTCTGTATTGAATGTGGCTTTGTATTTACATCTTATTTTATGATAAAAGATTAAGTAATTGATGTGTTTCTATTACAGTTGAGAGACAAAAGAACTTCATCCATTCTCTCACCCCTCAAAAAAAAATAAATAAATAAATAAAAATAAAGCAAATTTGCCCTTCTTAAAGGCAAGAATAGTGCCTGACCTGTCTGCACCTGGCACAAGTTTTTGGACAGTTTTGAATTTATGGATTTCCTTTTGGTGAAAACTTATTTCTGTATGATGGACAAGTAGCAATATGTCCTTTTTTAAAATAAAACTATAGAAAGGAATATGTTAGAATTTCTTTCAATAAAAAATTTATGAAATCAAAATGTTTGTTATCCATGTCAATTCACAATGTATGTCAGGTACACTGTGAAAGAACATCTGATGTATACACCACATGACTTCCTTGTACGGAATATTAAATTATACACATTTTTTCTTGTATTTCATTTAAACGTATTGGATTGAATTAAATCACTTCGCCGACAGCGCATAAACCACAATAGAATAAATGCATTCTTTAAAATTCACCTAGTATTTGTTTACCATAGCGACACTCTGGCGCTAGATTCACTTAACAGTATTATATTCGTTCATATTATAACTCATAATGCACAAAATTCATATCATTTGAAGAATTATCTAATCGTTGTCCATATTCTATTCAAATACTATAATAAAGCTAGAAACGATGTATATAAAAGAATTAAGCAAACAAAAAAAAAAAGAACAGTTTTTCACAGACCGATGAGTATTTCTCATTCATTAATTCAGTTCTCACTTCGCGAGAAGGCAAAAATACATAAAAAAACTCAAACATTCTATATTAAAAATTACGAAGTAAATCTCAAACACTTATTTCCTCGAAAAAATCCAGAAAGGATTAAGCATGATTTAATTGGCAATAATAAATGAAGGTATCTTTGTTGTTGTGCAGCTAGTTCTCTAGATTGGCAACAAATCCACTAGTCTCCTGTTTCAAAATGTAACATCAATGGCCGCGATTAAAAAACAGGCTTAGCGGCAATTAAAACAACTTTAAAATTGCTGATAATTCTAAAAATATTGCACACAGATTTACTAAAGGCATAAAATCCTTAACCGGAAGATAAAAACAACTTAATTAATCATTTTAAAGCAAAAAAATGTACATTTACAAACATATGAGTAAAAAAAACAGATCAATGAGCCGGGGTAAACAGAGTGGATTATATATAAATATATTTATATAGTTTGGTGCGGCCGATTGCAACCAAAATAACCTAACCTAACCCAACTACATGTTATACCAGTCCCATATACAAAATTTCAACGTTCTGAGACTGGTCATTTTTGAGTTATGCGAAACACATACATACATATGTACAGACGCCACGAAAACATTGTTTTTAAAAACATTTTTAATCAGTTTTATAATTCGTTTGGAGAAAAAGAGTCCTTTATTTTGTTCTTACTTACAGATGTCCCGCAGAAACATCGTTAAATTGCATTCGATAGCGGTCAAAATAGATATTTTCTCAAGAAACATTATTTTAACTAAACGCTAGAGACTCGGTATTCTTAAGGGGGAAAAAAATGAAGCGATACAGTGTAAGTGATAGGAACCATTCGTTGATCGTGGTCCTCATTTTTCTACATATACTGATCAAAATTCACATGGGCTTTAAAGTTAATAAATTCAGATAGGATGTTCAAACAAGAATTCTTCACGATTTTGAGTAAAGATAGGAGCGCAATGAACTTAATTGATAATAACGGAAATGTAAGTTAAACAGTAAAAAAGGGAAGGATTTGTGGAAGACTTTGTAACGCAAAATTGCTTTATTCTGCGTCATTCATTTTACTTTATTGTGTTTCAATTAAAAATTGAAAATAATTGCTACATGTCTTGGGATTTTTCCCGCACTAGTTGCAATACAGATTATTAGAACAGCCCCGAACGTATAAGAAACTTACACATATCCACAAACATTTTTTTTTCCAAGGCTAAACATCAATAGTGTAGTATAATATGGAAGAAGAAAATGTCTACTTTCCAACAACATGTAAGCATCTGAGTACGGAACACATGAATAAGAGATGAATATTTTTTCTGCTTATTTTCTGAATGAGACAACGAGTTTCACAAATTGCGCATGAAAAAAAATAATGAAATATTTTTAATCTTATTCTTGCCCATAACACATTATGTATTCTAAAATTTTCCGGTTTGATGACTGTATTGTACATATAGGCGAATTTGTTAAATTAGTGATTCCGTTTTCTGAAGATTCAGGTTCAGAAACTTGAAACCAAAGAGATTAGACATATAATGGAGTATATCGTAGCCAAGTGAAAGTGATAAATTAGTTTTTTGATGTTTTTTATGAATTCTCAGATATGTAGCAAAATTATTATGCCCCTCAGAGGATCTTTTTTTAAAAAAAATTTATTGTGATCACTGCCTTCTATTACATAGACTTTAGAAAACATTTTCGGTTAATATATCGTATTTCGTAACTTTTTTTTTAAATGCCTCTATTTTGACTCAAAGATTTAAGAAATGAGTTGTAAATTTCAAATTAAGGGAAACAAAGGAATCAAGGAGTGAAATAATAATGGCCTAAATAACTATTGGTATATGAAATAACAAATTAAGTTTTTAGAAAATTTAAAAATTATAAAAAGATAAATTATTAATTATTGTACAGAGTAACAATTGGGCATTAGGGATGTTAATCTGTTACATTGCTGATTTCGTTCATGATTTCGAAAAATACGAACATCCTATTCATAGGGTCAGATAATTCTTTAAGTTTTGGCATATAATTATTGATAATAATATTCATGATTTTAATCTTCCTTAGACCGAACATTTCGATGATTTCGGAGATATTTCGCATGAAACTTGCGCTTTTTCGTAAGCCAAGAGTCGGGTTTTTAGTGTTTGCTTTGTAGATTTTTTCCTGGCGGAATTAATTTCTTCTGTATGGCTATTATTAAGGTTGCTATAGGGTTTAACATGGGCAGCAGAAACCGAGTTCTGGTCGCGTTTGGTTTGACTGAGGGGGTGATACCTTGATTTTTGGCCATGTCGGTAAAGGAAATTCCTTTTTTTACAGAATAATCTTTCTTGGGGATTTACTACACCCACGATAAGACGATACATGATCTCCAAGGCAGTTACTGCACTTAGGTTTGTCAATTCTACCTTTGTGCGGGCAATCCATGGTCTTATAATCTAATGAGCACTTGACACATCTGGGTGCGAAAAAGCCGTTTTCAGACGAATGGGGCCACCTTTGGCAATTGTAGCACTGTGGCACCTGATTCTTTGAGATGTATTTTTCTGATTTTGAGATTACTTCAAAATTGGCTGGAAGAAGTTAAGATTATTTATGGGGGATTCCGATAAGTGTGGGTTGCATAGCCTTAAATTGATGTCAATTTCTAGGAGCGCGTACTTAAAATTATCTGAATACTTTACCTCCGCGTTGGTGATGGCTTTCTTAAAAATATTATTATTTAATTTATTGATGAATAACGTAGACTATGGAGTTTAAAGTCTCTGTGTAGCTGTTCATTGCGAACGAACCAGGGGACTCCTGTGATTTTTCGTAAGTAGTTGTTTTGGAAAATCTGCAATTTATTTAATACGGAGGTGGGAACAGAGCAACATCCAAGGAAGGCATATGTAAGGATGGGTCTTAATATTGATGTGTAAATGTGCTTCTTGCGAGCAAGATAGTGGTGAGGAGGCGTCAAGAAAGTTTCGACTTTCCTAGAGATTCCTATGGCTTTCCCGATGGGCATGGAATGTGAGGACCCCAATGTAAGAGAGCCGTTAAAACGAAACCCAAGTATGTAGCCCTCTGACTTTGGGTAACTGTTTTATTAATGAGGGTCAGATCTGCATCAATGTTTTTTTCTTTTGTGCCATCTTATCAGTAATAATTTGGGTTTTGGCATTAATGGATGTCCTCCATTTGCGACACCATTCCTCTATCTCATGTGTGTGGTTTTGTATTCTGGTTATGGCATGTCGTGGATTAAGTGAACTAGAAAGAATGGCGGTATCATCCACATAGCAAGCGGTGATGCAGTTTGTATTTTCAATCATAGGGAAGTTCCTTAACATATATAAGATAAAGAATAGGCCCAAGGATGCTTCCCTGGGGAACGCCAGGCTTTAATTAATGTGTTTTCAGAATAAACATCGCCCTGCCTGACATAGAAGGATCGATCACTCAGAAAGGAGTGAAGAATAAAAATCGTTTCCCTGGGGAGATCGAAGAAAGCAAGCTTGTAGATAAGTCCGTTATGCCAGACGCGGTCAAAGGTTTTTGGCACGTCCAGCGTAAGGAAAGCAGTTGTCTGGTGCTTATGAATAGCTGCGCCTAAAAATTCAACGATTCTGACAAGCTGCAGGGTGGTAGACAACCCTTTTCGGAAACCAAACTGCTGTTTTGGAAGCGCGTTTAGGGCTGGATGTAGTCTACTGCAGATAACTTTCTCTAGGATCTTTCCCAGCGCAGGAAGCAAGCTGATTGGGCGAACCCCATACGTATTATCTTTTACGGTTTTACAACGCCTGCCTGTACCTATGCTATTTCCCAGCTGAATGGAAGCAAGCGGTTGTCATCTTAATTCCGGGAATTAAGATGACAACGCTTGCTTCCATTCGGGGAAATCATAGGTACAGGCAGGCGTTGTAAACGCTATAGAGTTTGTTGATGAAATTACCAGGCAGATGTTTAATCGTTGAATTAGAGATTTTTCCTTCCAGGTGCTTTTCTGTTATGAAGTTTAGCTATAATAGAGCTAACTTCTGTGGGAGAGGTAAAAAAAGGGCGGATTTTTGACACTGGGCTGGTTAATCAACTATCGACAAGCATGTTAGTGATTAATGAAATTTCGGTCTGAAGTGGTCTCATTTGGAGTGAGTGAACTGTTGCGAAGTGGGTGGCAAGGCTTTGCTTTCTTCGTTGCTGTATTTGAATCCAGTGTCGTCCTGTAAGGTCTGGTGCTTGTTTTTGTTGACTTCATTAACGGAGGATCCAGAATCCCGTCTTCCGCATTTAATTTTTCATTTTGTTATTCCAAAGTTAGTCTGGTGGGAGTCATTAACCTTTTAATGTTGCGATTAAGTTTATTAATTTGCGATTTAATTGCGGGTCACGTGAGTAGGCGAAAATCTTGCGGAAGTCCTATTTCGTGTTTAGCTATTAATTTAATTTCTTGCGGAAGTTGAAGTAATATTTTTTATTATAATTCTGTAGTAATTTTGAAATGCCTTATCAATGCAGGTGGTGATGTTGCGATAGCCCGGCGATATCATGCGTATTTT